TGGACAGGAAGTCGGACTCCATCACGTTGTTGATGGTGAGGGTGGAGAGGACGCCGCCGCCCTCGGCCGACGATTTGCTCTGCTCCACCGTGTACCTCTCCAGAAGCGTCCCCTTCTCCTTCTCCCACACGTTTTCCTTCCACGCCCACACCTGCAACGCACACACACACACACATCCAGTCAACATGCCGACATTCACTCATTTTCATGGTACGTTTTCGGTGTTATATCAATGGAAGCATATCATGTGAGAATATATGCTGCTACTCAGACCCACATTTATTAGATGGTCATAATGCTCACTGACACATGACTGAACATAACAGAAGACAACTGAAATGAGAAGATCTTAACTTGAACATTGAGGATGAATAGTAATGTATCTGTGATGTGTGTATCGGAGACCTCAGTGCAGCCAATTGTTAAGGCATTTACTGTGGAGGTGGGGAATTTTATGTACATGTTTGAAAGGCATGGGTCAGCATTTTAGGAGATGCCATGTGCTTATTCGCCTTCTTGCTGAGAGTTCAAAAAGAAAATTGATGGTAATAAGAAGTAAATGTGAAGCTAAAGCCACAAACCAGCACCTCTACAGGTGGTGTTCAGAGCCAGACTGCTGGCAGTGGCTCCATAGAGGTCCACATCTTCTTATATTACTATTGGCAAGATAGTGAATATGTTTATTACCCACAATGTCCAACTATTCCTTTAAGAACAGGCCTATTACTCTCTTCTTAAAAATATATTAGTGTGGTTTAATGGGCTGGCATCTTGTGTCCAGTATGTCTTCTTTAAAAATTATAAAAAACATTTTTGTTGGCTATTTCAGAGGTGTGTTAAGCAAGTGCAACAATCATCAGACCCAAGTTCACCACTTTTCACAATAAAGGCTCTGATATTCAGCTCAATATAAATAATTGCAGTCGATACTTTGAGGACAAAATGCCAAACAGGAAGCTACTCAATGAATGTTGCTGCCATGACCAGCACCTGTGACTCCCATGAACATCAGTCTTAATGGTGAAATCAAAATAATCAGGTTGTCAAAATGAGAAGAAGAATATTCAATGTGCACAGACTGGCCTACACCCACTGATTACTACCAAGCACTGGTCGGCTGTTTATTCATGGTTTATTAATATTGAACGCATTGCCGGTTCAAATCACAACAAATTCCGCACTGTACTACCCTGGAAAATTAAGAATACACATGCAAAGTGTGAAGCCGATAGGATGAACGCTTGGTGAGATATGCCTTTCACATACAGACAGGCGTTTGTGGAACCAGTAGGTCGATGCTTCGTGAAAAGCAACATATGACTTGAATATATACTACAGACGTGCATGACAGAAGAAAACTGCATAAATATACATCGAGTACATGTTAATGTACACGTTGCATGATTTCATCCAAGAAGCAACAGTTTGTGTGTTTCTGCAGACACAAGTGAAGTTGAATCTCGCACATTCTCCAACTTTAAAGCCACTAAAAGCAGCTCTATTATTCAGCATTGAAGTACTGTACGCAGGCCAGTTAATTATGCATAAGCCCACATGTTCCCATAATGTGCCCACTTATTCCAGAGAAGGAGAAGCTCCTGGCTGAGGCGTTTACTGGGACAACTGTTCCTCTCCAGTCCTTTATATTTTATAAATCTTTTTCTGTCCCAACCTCTGCCACTTGCATTAGGAGCGCGCACTGCAAGTCAGAACGGATCAGTAACAGGGGGGAGGCGAGGAGCTTCCACTGCCGCTGCGTCTCGGCGATACAGCCAAGTGAAGAGAGCATCCAAGCTGATTTCTGACGCAGGAGCTAAAAGCGGAGCGGCTTAGTGTTAGTTTGTTTATGTGATGGGATGGAGGAACATTCTGGGAGAGTTTAAGGGTGAGTCACCGCTCAAAAGGAAAAAAGGGGACAGCACCTAAAAGCACTTGCCGTGCAGGAGCGAGAGCCATTTAGGAACAGGAAGGTACAGTATCAGTAAAACACAAATCCCTGTCAGACTAAAAGCTACAACCTTGTGCTCTTTGTGACCAAAGCTTTTCCTTGCTCTGCAGTTTTTGTCTGAATAATTGACGCTGGGGTCAAATTTATAAATTTCAATTGTGGATTTGGTGCCAGAAAGGTTTTATATCCTTGTCATTTCATTTTCACTTACAATCTTATCCGGAGGAGGCATACTGGCGATGTAGCACTTCACCTCGCCTTTCTCTCCTCTCACTGCGTACTGGACGGGCTCACTGGAGATGAAGGGAGGACCTGCATTGGTCAAAACGACAGGACACATGAGTGCATGACAGATAAAATCCAGCAAAGTGCAAGAATTATATTCAATCCATGTGGTTTCTAAAGACAATGACCTTAGCCGGCCTGTTCAAGAGGCTTTTATATGATTTTTTTAAATAAACGACCTTCACTTTGGACATTTTTTTTATTTACTGACAAGCTGACCTTTTTGAAAGAACAAGATTTTCATCCACTAAAAGTGATACATGAAATTATGTGGATGTTTTCTGACCGTTCACAGTGAGCGTGACCTCAGTCTCTCCTACTCCAATCCGCGGGACGATGGCCTTACAAACGTACTGGCCGGCGTCCGCCTGGCTCACTGACTCCATATGCAGATTGTTGCTGTTACTCAGAACCTGTGGGGGAGTGAAAAAAAGATATAAATGAGGGAAATCTGCTCAGCAGCGGGAGGCGATAAACAAAATCAAACATATGTTGAAGAGAGCGAATGCATTGTGATACCTCCACCTGTACACTTTATTATTTTATGTTGCATGTTTTAAAGTCTGGCTGTAATTTCAGGACATATGCTCTAATGCTCCGACCCTAACTGGCTGACAATGCAAACTTGCACATCTGCTTTTAACTCATCACAAAGGGTTTGCAGTTGCCTGGCAACCGCATCCATCAGAAAATTAGTGTGAAAATGATGGCTAAATATGTAACCACCCAGTAAGAGAGAGAGAATCCCCTGAACCAAGCTGATTATAGAGATGAGGTCACATCAGTCCACAACGCTCTGAACCGTAACTTCATATAAGTCAGTATATGTAACCTGAACACACTGCATATTGGTCCACCAGGCAGGGAGTCATTATATTGTATTAAGCTTCTGGCTGGTGCGACACAGCAGATGTTAACAACAAAACAATAGTTAATAGTTAATGTAACTTTAATTTAAAAAGTGGTTCTTGCAAAACCTAGTGGATAAAAGAAAAGTCCTTTCCTTGTCAAGGGCTAGATGAGAAGAGTGAAAATGGTTGTTCAAGATGACCAATATGGCTGCCAAACAGTGTATGATGTCATCTTATATCATCTTAAATCCTTCCTGCCCTCTTTCTGTTTCTGCTGCAACATTTCAATTTAGAAGGATAGACGAGCCGTACTACCAGTGGGTCAACTCATCCAATCCAATTCAATATGAATTGATCAAATCAGAGAAAAAGGAAAGAATGAAAGTGGAAAAAAGAGATTGCAAAGGTAAAAGGAGAAGAGCGATATTGAAGGGTGATAATACCCAGGCTGGTTTTTCCTGAATATGAGGTCAGAGGAGACGTGTGCCTCGGCTTCTCACCATGTTTGATCCCTTTTTGAACCACGTGAGTGTGAGCGGAGGGTTCCCCGCCCATTTGCAGTTGAGGGTGACATCGGCGTTGACGTCGACTGTTTGAGGCTGCGGCTCCACCAACAGGATCGGACCGACTGCAGATAAAAAGAGAGGGGGAGCAGGTTTGCGATTTGTTTTTATTGTGTTTGAGTAATAATGCAGTCGGACTGAAACGAAAGTAAAGCACAACGGCGGTGTGTTTCTTCCCTCTGACTCCACAATGCAGTGAAGTGGGTCACGAGTGAGTGAACACGGCGAGATGAGTGCTGTGTGACTCACAGTGGACGTCCACCAGGATGCTGACGTTGGTCTTTCCCACTGCGTTGAAAACCAGACAGGAGACAGGCTCGGTGAAGAAGGAGTGGTCCGCCTTGGTGGTGAACACGCTCTCCCTGGCGCCCTGCAGCACCACGCCACCTTTAGCCCACCTAGGATTTAGAGAGACACATTTACATACATAGGAACAACGTGTGGCACAAGTGAAAACATTTAACAATGCACACTCTTGAGAAGCCAAGTTTGAATCCACAATCAATTTTTTTTTTATCTTACAAAACTATACAAAAAGCAACACTGTAGCTGTCACTTTAAGAGGCCCGGTGAAAATGAGAAGCGGTCTGAGAGTGGAGGCTGACCTGTAGCCCATAATAGGAGGGTTGGCGTGCGCCTGGCAGGTGAAGGTGACTCGTTCCCCCTCCATGACAGAACGCGGCTCGATGGACAAGGTCACTGTCGGTGGATCTGAGAGAGAGAAAGAGAGAGAGGGGGGGTTGCTTACTACATCTAATATATGCTGCAATCTGGAGGAGTGTCTGATGCAAAATGGCTGCCACGCATTACTTAGTAACAGCTTTAAAAACATTTAGCATGATGATAGAAAATTATACATATTTTGCCATATAGCGACATAAAAGTATAAGATGACAAAAACAGACTTTGTACGTTAAAACATGACGTTTTTCTCTGTTTGTTGATGATGTATTTGAGATTAAAAGCAGCTTTTCTCACGGTGGACGTTGAGCGTGACAGTTGTCATTTTGCCGCCGGGAATAGCCAGGTTGGTGGCCACACAGCTGTAGTTCCTTCCAGTGTCGGTGTCGACAGGGTGGATGGGCAGGTAGCTACGTGTGGTCACTCTCTTCCTGTCTGGCAGCACCTCCTGATAATTGATCATGTGATTTTAAATGCAGCTCATGAATGTATGAGTGTAGCGTGTGTGGGTGCACGTGTGGCTTACAGTAGCACTGGCGGCCCCGTTCACAGGCAGACCGTCTTTGAGCCACTCGACCATCGATGGCGGCTTCGCCCCTCGAGACACGCAGCTCAGGTTGTAGGACTCGCCGGCGTTTAGCAGCACCTCAGGACCCCCATCGATCACCGGGTCATCTGGGGGGACTGGAGCAGGACAGAGGGCCGCATTAGAAAAACGCAACAGCCTCACAAGCTGAATGTTAGACGTACACATGAGCACACAAACGTACTGAGGACAGTGAGTTTGGCCCTTCTGGACCTCAGCGCTGCATCAGGGGCCTGACACTCGTACACGGAGTCGTCGGACAGGTCAGCTGACTGGATCTCCAGATTGTACTGCCCCAACTCTTGCACAGGCAACACACGGTACCTGGGCCAGGCTGGAGCACACAGACACACACAGCAGATTAAATAAACACACAAACACGAGGATCATCTTTATGATGCTGTTTAAATGCTTTACCTTTTCCTAATCTAGTGCTACTACTGGCTGAAGTTGAATGTATGTCACTATATCGTCAAGATTCGAAATTCCAAATCCAAACTAACACATCACATGTGTCAGGACAAATGACACCAGATAGACGCAAGGGAAATGATGCACAAACACAAACGCATGACCAAACATACACATTCACACAGCACAATGCACACACACGCACACACACACACACACAATCACATGTTCACACAACACAGGCCCTCCGCTATTGGCTTCCCTTCCCCCATCCCGACACACAGCCCAGCTGTGTCACTGCTGTACATTCTCACCATTAGGTGGCATCCACGCGCTCTTTCACCAGCAGGGGGGAGAGAGATGAATGCATTATGACAACAACGTTTTAGAGGACTCAAATAGACTCCAGTGCATGGTGCAGAATTCATGTTTGCTGCCCAGATGTAGATGGCATGTGAAAATCTCTGCTGCCGTCTCCATGTGCAGCATCCAAAGTGAGCTGTGCGGCCCGCCTAACCTTGTGTGTCCTTGTTTCCTGGTTTCTGCATGCATGTGTGCATGTGTGTGCCTTGTATATACGCACATTTGCATGTGAAATGTGCAGGGCGAGAAAGCGAGACCCAGAGAAAGAGGGAGCGGGCAGGGGGGACAGAGCCTCATACACAAACATACACAGGCGCCCAGTGAGTGTATGTGTGCATGAAGCGGCCAGTGTTCATTCACATGTTTTTACTTAAAAGCTTTGGCTCGAAGCACTGGACCATTACAGTAACAATGATTAAAAGAAGGGAGAGGGGGAGACACAGAAAGACTGGAGAAGGGACAGCTGAAGACAGACAGAGGGAGAGACAGGTGGGCGAGGAGCATTGACAGGGGGAGGAGAGCCTGGTGAAGCTGAGGGGTAAGAGACCAGTTAAATGACGAACAGTAGAGAGAGGAAAAAAAGGAGTGATCTTACATGAGGATGTCACAGAGGAGAGAGAGGAGAGGTGAAAAATGAATCGAAAAGAGACAACAGCACGAGAAGAGAAAACCTGGAGAAAATGGAATGAAATGATGAAAAGAAAGAAACAGAAATCATTAGAGGGAGGGGAAATTCAACAAGAACTGGTCAAATACAACTATCATAAATATAGAAATATTGAGGGACTTATACTGGTGAAAAACAATAGTAACAAACACAAGGCAACAGCATGTCACAAATGATGCCGTCCCGCTCTGGACCTCTGGATAAAATATACATATATAAGTAATTATACAGCTCCACCTTTACACTAATCAGTGCTACTCTGAAAACTACGTTTACAGGGACAGCAATATTCTGATATTAACCCCTTTGAAAGAGTAGTCTGAATCAGACCCTGACATAAGGTCATACTCTGAATAAGCATCATGTAGTTGTCACAGCATTTTGCAACATTAACAGTTACCAACTGCTGGAGGACACATGCCCTGGGTGTAAACAAGATGGAACAATCAAAAGGAGTTGTAGCTTTTACATGTAGAAAGACAACATCTAAAACGGTATACAGTCGCATTGTACATTAAACAATTTAAGGTTGGGGTTTTAAAACTGATGCAACTCTTAATCTGGCTATGCTCTGTAACATGCACACAGCAATATGAATGGAATATTATAGTAGCAACTCTGTAAACACCATAATTCAAATAATGTCTTATTCTGAAGAAGGTCAATAGTGAAATGATGTCAGAGATGAAATGCATCATTCCACCAAGTTCTGTGGAGACTAAAGTGAAATGCAAAGAGAAACAGTAAGTGGCAGAGAGCTGCAAACTAGGATGAAGTCTCTCTCTCTCTAAATATTAGTATTAGTATTAGGCCTTCAATAAAAAGCAGTCAGTATCAGCCGCTGCTTGCATGACAAAGGTGATGATGTGATGCTCCCTGACGAAGTTGAAGGGTGTCAGTCTGTAAAAAATGTGCCAGAGGACGCTCGGAATTACCCGTCAAGCGTTTGACGGTGTATGTGCAGGAGGTAGCCAAATTTAACATCAAGCTAAATAAGTGACACAGTGATTCACACACTGTGATGTGATGGGATAGCTGCTGTAGTAGCTGAAGCTGTCCTCCAGTAGCATGGCAGCCTCCATCATGTCTTTGAGGGGGGAGAAAAATGCTCCGCTGGCTCAATCTAGCTGCAACTAAAACAATCAGCAGCAAAAATATTTTGTCAGCACGCATTAGCCACCGCTGTTACAAACACTGGCTGAGTGTGTGTGAGTGTGTGTGTGAGCATTCAGTGTTCTGCTTTGTTAACAGTCCACAGCAGTCACACTAGAAATAGCAGAGTTAGTGCAGTCTCTGTAAAAACATACCTGCTGGTGACAATGTTTCTTATTCTGAAGGTCATGCAAATGTTGACCAATGGCGGTGGTGGGATGTATCCATGTACATTTACTTAGTTGCTGTACTTAAGCACATTTTTCATGTATCTGTACCCAACTTAAGGTACTTTTTTCACTTTTGCTCCATTACACAAATCAGCAAATATCTTTATTCTCTACTCCACTATATCTTTACAAAGCATCGAGTAACATGCTCACATTTCCACTGATCCAGTCAGAGTAACTGAGGCTAATCACTATAAGAACAACGCCCTTTCAAATAATTCATATTACAACACAAGTGTATTCAGGAGCCTCGTCTGCAGCATTATTTATGACTGTGACAGCTTGCATTATTTCTTGTATTGTACTCTTACTTGAGTACATTTTTGTCCATTTATTTGTACTTTTACTTGAGTAAAATGTACTTCCTCCACCACTGACAAAGAAAAGCTGACACACACACACACCATAGTTATTACTTGTCTTACCCTAACTCTAACCCATCCCTTAGCTTAACGTAATATTAAAAAATGTCTTCCCCTTAAAATGTAATGATTTCCAGGAAGAAAAGTCCCCATAATGTGACTACAAACAGATTTAGACCATATACCATACCTGGACCATATATATAAATATATATAGTGAATGAATCACACACACATATATATGTACATATATATGTGTGTGTGTGTTTGTGTGTGTGATTCATTCACTCCTCTCTTCTGTAATAGTTCCAGCTATTCATTTATAAACCCTTAGCCTTGCCAGATAGTCACAACCAAATGTGCTTGTTGTTTAAAAAGACCCACTAAGATGGGTTTTATTTATTTAACACAGTGTTTTGTGTAGCTCTGCTCTGGTTTGCATGCAGACATTTCATTTACCCAATACCCTTGGATCTCTCATCTTGTCCACTCTCTTACTGACTAGGCATAATAGACTGGGAAGTGTGTCCCATGCAGTCAGCCCATAGTTGGTAGTTGTGTGGTTATGGTGACATTAAATATACTTAGTTTAGTCCTTAGTTAAAAGCAGCACTGTAACAAGCACATTTTGTACAGATCATACATTCAGTCTCTATCGTCTGTTCTCAAGCAACCCAAAGAAACCAGGGTCAGCTCAAGTCACAGGGACAGAGGCCTGACGAGGCTTTTTGGTGTCTCACCCTGCAGGTCTTCTCCAATGCCCAGAGCGAGGCCATCTTTGGTCCACTGAACGATGCCAGAGTAGTTGAAGACAACACAGGACAGGATCACCGTCTGGCCCCGCACCACCGACTGGTCTGCTGGCTCCTGAGAGAACCTCGCCGTCCACACTGGAGGTTGGGAAAGAAAGAGAGACATAAGTTTGGTACTTTCTCATTTCCATTCTATACACGCTGCAGGCAAGCGACTGTAAAGTCATCCCTGACCACGATTAGGGCATGTTATTGTATCCATGGTTTTATGGTTAATTGATTAGAAAGCGCGGTTCCCCCAGGAGCAATGGAATGCCACGATGGCCATCTTCTTTGATCACACGATGGCTCGCAGCCATTAACTTGAGCGCATGAGGAGTTGGGAGGAAAGACAGTGAGTGTCAAAGACGAGAAAATTAGTCGGGGAAGACGAAAGAGAAAGAATGAAGAGGCGGTTAATGCTGACTCAGGAGAGAGGAGCTGGGAGATCAAACACCCAACCTCAGCCACGGGGTCTCTCACACCCCCTTTTCTTCTCGCTCCTGACTTTTATTTCTTCAAAACACTCCGTCCCTCCCTCTCGTCTCCCTCTCTCTCTGTCTCTCTGTCTGTCTGTTTCTCCCTTCTTCATTCCTCCCTATGAGTCATCTCCCAGGCTTCCACTCCCCAACCAAAACTACAGTGGCTGTCATTGTCTACTAGACTCTCTCCCTCCAGTCTGTAGTCCACTGTCACAGCAGATAGTCCAGCGCCGAACTGGCCCAACTGTCTAATATGAGCGAAAAATACGAAAACCCTCCGCTTTTGTTCCACCGTGTATGATGACAAGTTGTAATTAGCTGTCCCATGAAGACACGACACCCGTATAATAAAGGAGGGGCGATCACTGTGGAGGATTTGCATCTCACTTTAAATTTTCATTCTTTCCGCTCCGTCTCATCTCCTCTCTCCCACTTTTTATCGTACAGTAGATCATTAACCCAGTGCTGCCTCGTCAACCCCCCACCACCCTCCTCTCCTTCTGTTCTCTCTCTATCATGTTGTATGTCCTTTACCCAAATTGCTTTCCCTCTGTCTCCGCTTTTCCCCGTTTATGTATGCATCCCTACGTCTTTCCCTTTGTACATCTACAATGCTGTCTATGAATATCCTTTTGCCTGCACTGATTTCCCTCTCTCCCTCTCTACTCTATGCATGTGCCTCCCTCTTTCTATATACATATATAATGCTGTATATGTGCTTTTTACCCATAACGCTTTCTATTTCTGAGTTCCTCCTCCTCGCTGGATGGAAGGGGGTTAGAGGCGGACTGTCACAACTCATTTATCACATTAAATATCAGCCCTCCAGCACTTTCTCTCTCCCTCTCTTTTTTTCATCTGCCCCGTTCATTCTTGCTCGTCTCTCACTTTTTCCTTCACTCCCTTTTCTTCACCTCCTTCCATTTACATCTCTCCTTCTCACTTTTTTTTATCACTTGTTTTCCCCTTCTCTTTCCCTTGCACTCCCTCTCTCATTCCACTCACACTTCTCCCCCGGAACCCTCCAGCACTTTTCTGAAGGCTCCCATCTCGCTCGTTTTTGGTAACAACTGCCATATGCATCTGCAACCCTCCACCCCCCACCCCCTACAATGACCCTCCGTCCCTATCTCACGTTTTCCCTTCTCCTCCATATACGCAGAAATGCACTCTCCCCTGATCATGTCATATTTGCAGAGGTACAATATGCCTGTTATTACAAATGAATGCAATCAAGCGAAGAGGCCTTCCATACCAATCACAGCAATGGCTTCTGACTTTACTATTCTCAAGATAAAAGAGATGTGTGAGGATGTACAGCGAAAAGGGAATCAGATGCAGATGGAGCTTTGCAGCATGCGTAAGTAGAATAATTCAGCAATGAACCAAAAAAAAACAACAACAAGCGGCTCGTAATTTGATCCCTGAGGAACACCCAAATTAACAAGATTAGCGTATTAGAATAAATAAAGCAAACAACATTGTAACAATGATTAGCACTGAAAAGTTGGGGGATGAAATATCAAGTAACAAAGCCTTCAACTACAATCTAAAGGCACCAGAGCAGCGCACGTTCTCCCCAGCTGAAAAACAACATAAGCTGAATATTATATAATTCCACTGAGGGTTACAACAAGATGGCTTGACCGAATGCGTGGAGGTAAATAACAATCCCAACTTCTTTCTAACCAAAAAGACTTAAAATATTTTTAGACTTGAAATATATGATAAATAATATAATATAATATAATATATTTCAATCACGCTCTTACTGTGAATGTTTTTGAAATTTGGAGTGAACATTTTCCACAATTTGTCTCTGATTTGTCTACATAAATGAGCTTGCAGGCATTTTCTCTGATTTTGAAATGTCATTGTTGCTCATTTCTAATATTTAATGTTGTTGGGCAGTACTTGAGATTCAAGTTCAGCAGTCTTCAGGAGGGCAATAAATGAGCTTGCAGGCATTTTCTCTGATTTTGAAATGTCATTGTTGCTCATTTCTAATATTTAATGTTGTTGGGCAGTACTTGAGATTCAAGTTCAGCAGTCTTCAGGAGGGCAATGCCTTACCGCTATCATGGGCCCACTGTGACGCTGTTTGCTGCTAGCTACCCCCTAACCCCCTCGGGCACCGTGGCTCAGTGGCTGAGTAGGTCGTCCAACAACCAGAAGGTTGGCAGTTCGATTCCCACCACAGCCCAGCAGCAGAGCAGGTCATCCAACAACCCAATTCCCACCCCCCAGGCAAAAGCACCCCAGCATATGCACACACATGGCATCTGTCAATGTGTGTTTCCATAAATGCTTCAACAGGTGCCAAATGGATGGGTTAAATGCAAGTAAATCTAATCCTCCAATGATCTCACCTCCATATGCTGGCTTCAGACAAAGTCAACAATCAGAGACCACATGTGATTCCCTTCTTTCCAAAAATAATCAAAACCTCAAAATATTTAATTCACACTGTGAATGTTTTTGAACATGAATGTTTTTGAAATTTGGAGTGAACATTTTCCACAAAATGTAGGCATTTTCCCTGATTTTGTTGCTCATTTCTAATATTTAATGTTGTTGGGCAGTACTTGAGATTCAAGTTCAGCAGTCTTCAGGAGGGCAATGTCTGACCGCTATCATGGGCCCACTGTGACGCTGTTTGCTGCTAGCTACCCCCTAACCCCCTGGGGCACCGTGGCTCAGTGGCAGAGTAGGTTGTCCAACAACCAGAAGGTTGACAGTTCAATTCCCTCACCTGCCACAACCAAGGCACCAGGCAACAGCAACCCACCACCCCAGCACATCCACCAATGCGTGCTTCCATGCATGTTTCAACAGGTGCCAACTGGATGGGTTAAATGCTGAGAACAATTTCATGTATGCCATGTCATGCAAAAGTGTTAACATGACAATAAAAGTAAATCCAATCCTCTAATGATCTCACTTCCATATGCTGGCTTCAAACAAAGTCCAAATATAATAAAAACCTCAAAATATCTCATTCACTACAAAATGTTTTTTACAGGATGTAAACCTGCACAAGATATTTTCTTTTTGACCACTTCTATGCAGCATGAACAAGATGTAAATTCTCAAATTTAAGATCTACCTGTTATCTAGTACTTGCTTGTTTAGAAATTCAGCAAATCCAAATAGGACTGACAGTCAGGCGACAATTCTCTGTTGGTTTCTTATTACGAGTGAAACTTTCATTTAAAACATAATCATGTGATCCAGTGTAAATATGGAGATATTGATTATAGCTGCTGTAAGATATGTGCAATGCTCCACTTGCTCCAGACAAACCAAAAGGGATGGAGGAGTCTGTTACTTTACAAGGTTATCATGTCAATATTTCATGAGAATTCTGGAGGGAATGTACAGTCTATGTGTTGTCAGCTGATTGTATTAAGAGTATGTATTATTTCATACATTTCATGTAGGCACCATAATGAGGTAAAACCATAGGATAAAACCTGCACTTGTCTTCTGCCAATTACTGTTTTCGGTACAGTGTAGATTTATGCCACAGTTATTTAAAAAAGCATGAGAATCCTTTACTCAGATATACATGGGTGCACAGAGAGTTTAGCTGGGTTTAAACTACCCCGCAACCCCAACAGTAGCCTGAGGGCAAGCAAATCCTTTCCTCCACCACCTCAGATACGCGAGCTGGAGGTATTCCCTCAACTGCCTCAGTAAACCACGAGCATAATCCAAACTGAAAGCGTCTGAGCGGAGGCAACACAATCTGCAGAGAAAACACCCATGCAAAAGCTGAGGACTGAAAACACTGACTCATTTAAACATGTGCTCTTCTGATTTCCATATTACCCAGTTAACACTTGTCAACACGGGTGTAAGCACTCGTGTCTGTGTTTTAACAGGGAGATCTGTGCGTATAGAGCAGCACAGGCAAGACAGAAGCAAGGGAGCTTGTATTCTTTCATTATGTGGGTTATGCTGCAGTGACAAATTTAGAGTGTGTCCTGATTTCCTTGAGTCACTGATCCCCAAGATACCACCGGGAGACTCCAAGCAGCCTGTCCACACAAAGACCACGGTCACAAAGAGCTGTGACCATGACCACGTGCACATGGAAACACACACACAGGCAGCACAGATGACCCAGCCCACACCACATGGGTTAACCATTTCCTGTCAACACACGCACAAACATAACCAGTCTAAACCCCAAACATGTAATCGACACATCGAGGTGGTTTCCCGAGCATAGATTACGCCGTGGCACGGACTAAACCGTCAAGCCAGCGGAGCATCTCCGTCTCCATTCGGAGCGGGTCTCAGTTTAGTCTGGGATTAAGTACAGCCCAAGTCAAAGTTTGGAAAGGGATTAGGATTAACGTGGGGGCCGAGGACAACGGCCCCTGCAGACACTGTGACACCAACCTCGGCTTGTCAAAGCAGACACAAAGCCAAAGGCGAGCACGCACACACACACACTCCTTGCCGTGTGACTCACCAAAAGCATGGCCACACGCCACCAGAGTGTGAACCACAACAGCAGTTTAGCCCGAAAGCACCTCTCGCACCATGTGATAGTGTTTTAATAGCAAGGTAATGAAGCGTCAATTTGTTGCTGAGAATTACAGAAAGGGT